GAAGCAGGCTCCCGGCTGAGCCAGGAGCCCGATGCGGGGCTCAATCCCAGGACCCTGGGATCATGACCTGAGCCGAAGGCAGACGCTTAACCGTCCGAGCCACCCAGGCGCCCCTATGTTTGTTTTAATAAAGAAGAGAAAGCTTTCTGGAAAGCCATTTAGCAGTATTTGGTAAAATAATTTGTCACAAAATAGGGGCGCCTGGGTGGCTCAGTTGGTTGAGTGACTGACTCTTGATTTCAGCTCAGGTTGTGATCTCAGAGTCATGGGATCCAGCCCCACATCAGGATCCCCGCTCAGTGGGGAGTCTGCTTGAGATTCTCTCCTTCTTCCCCTCTCCCAGCTCTCCCAAACACGCATGCACTCTCTCTCTTTCAAATAAGTAAATAAATCTTAAAAAAAATCATGTTACAAATAAAAATGTTAACAAAACAATGTATTAAATAACAAAATTTCTGCATTTCAACAGAATGAAAACCATACAGTGTTTTAAAATTTGACATTTAATAACATTTGAGAAAATGAATTCAAGATATAAAAAACTGCCTGTGGTATGAAATATTAAGTAAAAAAGGGTCATAAAACAGTAGAAGCAGGATGACCTTAATTTCATAACACTATAATACACACAACATGTATGTGCACAGGAAAGAAACTGGAAGAAAATATATCAAAGTTCCAAGAGGCTTTCTGGGTAATTTTAATTTTCTCATCGTGCTTTTCTGAATGTTCGATGAACAATGAGAATGTATGGCAATCGTAAAAACATTAACAAAAGAATCAGTGGTGCCTGGGGCTTCCCAAAGGGCGCTGGTGTCATCCTAGGACTTGTCACTGGTGAGTGATTGCATGTCCTCCCTTTGCCCGCAGCATCCTCCCAGGCAGCCCCTGGTTTCTTTCCTAGATTTAAGGGTGGTCTTCAGAGCCCCTACCGAGTCCCTTTTCCCTGGCATTAGATCCTAGCTGGCCCCCATCTGGCTCCAGATGGTGGGCGAACCCGTTCCCTCCCCTCCCAGATTCCCTGGGATGAGTCCCCTTAAGCACCCATGGGTCTGGGCCAGCAGCTTTTGGATTTAATGGATTTATTGGGCAATGACTTTACACAATCTTATCTCTCCACGATCTGAAATTTAGCCTGACTGCAATGTCTCATTGGGCCAATAGGTGGTGCTGCGTAACCCAAAAGCACTAGTGCCCGGCGGTTCTGAAGACGGATTTCAGGGATCCTTAGAATAATCGCTGGAGAGAGCGTGCTGACATAGCATAGCTGCGTAAGGGCATGCAGACAATGTCACTACCATCACCACACAGGAATAGCCATTTCAGTGTAAATGTAAGAAGACAGAAATCTGAGAATAAAAGCACTTGCTGAACTTGAACACATTTTACTTTAAGAAAAACTACGTTGTATGTTTCTTCTTCTTATCATTTCAACTCAGACCGATGAAAACTTGACCCTAGACCAGCACAACCCTAGACCAGCACTGGCGCTGACCTGGCCTTTCGGAACCCTCCAGCCAAGGATTCCAGGGAGGTCCTTCCATTCCCCAAGGTCACATTTCCATAAAAATTAATTTGCTTCAAATTAAGAATCCTTTGTGTTCCCAGTGTGCAGTGAGACACATCTACTAGATCTTTCCTCCACTCATGGTTAAAGTGAAGCAGTGAGCCACTTTTAAGCAGAGCTATCTCTCTTAAAAAACACAGGTTGGGGGCGCCTGGGTGGCTCAGT